AAGAAAAATTTTTAAATTTAAAGTCAAAAAATATTTCCGAAGAAAATATACTAGTTAAAATTTTTTTTATTAAAATATATTAGTTAAAATTTTTTTTATTAAAATAAAGCCAGGTTAATTTAAACATATTTAATTTAATTATTTAAATCAAAGCAGTTATAGTTAAGATGCTTTAAAACAGATTCAAAATATATCAAATCAGTTTCAAATTGTTTTTGCATCGAATCCAAATCAGATTCGGATTTGGATCAGATCGAATCAAATCAAATTCGGATTCGAATCGGAACGGATCAAACTGTTATGGTTTCAAATCAGATCGGATCAGTTTAAAACAAATTGGATCCATATCCAATTCATATTCATAAAAACCGGATTGGATCGAATCTAGTTAAAATCTGATCTGATTCGATCTGCTGTGATCACTATCCACAGGTCAGAAACTAACCACTACATTATTGATCCATAGATTTATTTTATTATACAATATACTTTTATTTCTTTTATTATATACTTTATTTTTTTCATTGTATACTTTGTTATATACTTTGTTTTTTTTTATTATATACTTTTGTTTTTTTTTATTATATACTTTATTTTTTTAATCATATTTTTTGTTTTTGTTTTTTAAGTATTCATAGCCAGACTAGATTGTCAATTTATTAATTAATTGAAAACATAAGTATATTTTCATTTAAGCAACATGATACATACTATAGCCAAACCATTAATTCTAATCTAACTAATCTGTTATAAGCATAAAAGTCTCTAAATTCAACCTTGAAAACAATATTTTACTCTGTAGTATCTTTGGATAAAAACTCTTCTAATTCACTATATTATTGTCAACAAGTTGTCACTGTTATATATAATACCAAGCTTCTGAAATACAGGAAGCTACAAAAAATAGATTGAAAAAAAGGGAAGAGGGGATATCTAAAAATAATTAAACAGATAACAAGAAAATAAAAAGTAAAAATTTGAAAAAAATATTTCCAGTTTTCTTTAAAGACCTACTTTTTAAGACATCTTTTCAATAAAAAATACTTAATTGAGATATCCTTTCTTTTTTTGACCATTTGAGGAACTTATCCATTCTTGATCTTGATTTCTTTCTTGTATACCATCTGAGAAAACTTATTACCTAGTAAAAGTCTTTACTTCCAGGATATACTTGGTTTCAACTTTTTTTGGATAGTAATTTTTTATCTATCTGCAATAAAAAGACAACTTATGATAGATCCAGATTCTTATATGACCTAGTAGGAACTGGACCATATTGTTTCAATATTATACCTTCTAATAGCCATGTTTAATTAAAGGAATTTACTAGTATATATCTTTTATTACACAAAAAACTGGATTTTTCAATAATCCTTTTGCCTTATAATGGTGGGAAGGTCTCAAAAGCAATAGGGATTCTTATTAATTGTGATATCTTTTAACAACTTCTAGGAAAATACATTCTTGATTGTAACCAAAGGATTAGAGCTCAGTATGGACTAAAGGCCATTTGGTTTTATTGCTTGATTGGAATAAAAAGAATACTTTGGTCTTGAACTTTGCCTAATTAGAATAATAGAAAAAAAAGATTTCTGTTTGAATAAATAATAGTTTTTTCATCACCTAGGAACTTGTTGCTTGTATCTTATTGATCTTATAGAACTTGATTTATAGGTTAACCCTGGAGTGAACATGGGACATCAATAAACTCTTTCAATTATCAATAATGTCATTAGAACATGTAAAGTGACCAGTATGGACTAATTTATATTCAATTACTAATGTGTTTCATATCAATCAATCAAAAGCCGAGTAATATTATGCTATCAGAAATTTAGGATCAAATTAAGATAAACAAAATCCTTTAGAAAAACCATAAAAAACAGTAAACACTTTAAGAGGGAATAGAATAACATGAGTAGGTGAATAATAAGTCTTTTCCTGCTAACAAAACTTTATTTTTTGTTACTTTCAGCTTTGTAAGATGATATTACACTTGTCAATTCTTTTACTTCTTAGAATCTTCTTGCCTTTAGTAGAGGAAGTGCATACTTAAGTCTTTTCAGATCATTAGAGGTTTAAGTTTTTATTCAAAGGAGTTTATAAACAAGTAAGAGAGGATAGGAGAAATACAATATATAAAGACAAGCTTCAAGTTGTTTTAATGAAAGTATAAAGATTTTATTAGCAAGGAAGTATAAAATTTCTTGAAAACATCTTTTTTGTATGTGGTTAAAGGATTAGTATAAAGAGTTTTTTTTATAATATATCATATTTTTTGTTTCCTTTATTATATTTTTTGTTTTTTTATTATATACTTTATTTCTTTTATTACATATTTTTTTTTTTTGTTTTACAATTATGTATTTTATTTTTTTAACTATAAATTTTATTTAAAATGTCAAATCTTGATTAAATTAATACTTTTTTTACAGATCCTCTAACCATATACAAAAAAGATGTTTACAAGAAGTTTTTATACTTCTTTGTTAATAAAGTTTTTTAAAACAACTTGAAATATGACTTCAAAAATCATCTTTATCCTTTTTCTTTTGTTTACTAACCTTTTTATTCAAAAATTTAACTTCTAGTGATTAAGAAAAATCAAGTAATACCTTTAATACCAATAGCAAAAAAGTTTTCAAAGGAAGAAGAACTAACTATAAAGTACTTGAAGATCTATTTAACTTTTGAAACGAAAGATTTATAGAGATTTTTTGCAGTAAAAAGACTTATTTTCTTCTTTTTTGACTATTTTGACCTTTTTAAAGCTTCCACTTTCATGGTTTTTTGGAGAATTTTATTTAATCCAATTTGATCCTAAATTTTGGATAGCATAAATTCTCACTAAAAATAATTGGTTGACATAAAGCACATTAGTTTTTGGAATATAAACCAATTTTTATTAATCATATTCATATCCGATGACATTATTGATAATTGGAAAGAATATTCTGAAAATGTTTGCCTCCAAAAGCTCAAGTCCCTTAATAAAGATTTTTATAATATCAAAAGATTAAAGATAGATAATATGGATTGCAAACTTCTATCTCTTATCTAAGTTTCTCAAGTGATAACAAAATTTTAATAAAAAAAAGCTAAAATCTAAATGTTTTTCTTGAGATATTCCAATCTAGTGCTCACTTAAATAAAAGACCAGTTGGATTGACTTATCTGATATCACAAGTGATAAAAAAAATTTTTTTCTTTCAAGGTTCAAGTGAAGTAAAAAGACTATCCCAATCACAGATCTTTTTTGAGAAGAGATTGTTTTTATTTTTGGATTTTTTTAATGGATCTTGAATTGTTTCCTCTTCTAATCATTTTCTTCTTTCCCTTTTTAACTTAGCAATTCATTGGTTTTTGGACAATCAACAGTGACAAACTGTTGACAATGATCCTAGTAGATAGAGATCATTATCAATCTATTGGGGAAGTATAATATTGTTTCCAAAATCTGACTTAGAATACTTACATATAAAGACAAGTTAGTCACTTTGTGAAAGTCTGTAAATTATTGTAGATTTATTTTAATTTCTCAATAAAGACAAGCCATTGTGGCATGATTGCAGGTTTAAAAAAAATTAAAATTAAAATGCTAAATCTTAAATTCCGAATTTCCTTTTATTTATCGTAATTTTTGAACTTCGATAGGAAATAAGATCCGAAAATTATTAAAACAATATAATTATTATAGTACGAAAATCCGAAAATAGTGATGAGTGACGCAAGGAGAATACCCCCTATGTCATCTATTTTTGGCTCCTAATTACAGTATATCTGATTATATTAAGATATTATAGATATTATGAAATAGTATCAATGCTTAAAAAATATATTTCATACTATTTTTGTAGATTACCTCGGGATTAACATATACTGTGAAAACTTCGTGTACATTTGAAAGCGCTGATAACGTAAAATCTATCTTACTTTATGGCAGAAGAATCTAGCAAGATATATATGTTATTTATAGTTATATCTATTCTAATTTTATATTTTTTTTTGTCGTACTCCTTTTTTAACTATACCCGATAAGCCGCGTTATAAAGAATAATGAACATTCAAGTTTTTAATTATTACATAGTTCATTTTAAAATGACTTTCTATGATTTAACATGAAAATTATGGTTTAATTTTCACAATATGATGAAATCCACAAAACATGAAGCTTAAAATAGACATATTCCTAAAAATATTAGTCAACTATTCCTTATGAATGTAAAGAAAGAGAACTTGAAAGTAGTTCTAGCACATCGAACGCAAATAATACGTAAATGCGAACTCGGTTTATTAAGGGATTTATCTTCCAATACTTCCCAATTTTCTATATAAGCACCGAAGAAAAACTCACAAAAATCAATTTCTCTTCATTACAAAATGTTCAGATTATTTGAGTTAACCGTGCTATTATTAGCCCTCTTAGTTGTTACTTCTAGTGGTATAAGTATACCTTATCCACGCGCTCCTGATTACGAAGAAAATATCACCGCAACGTTAGAAGATGGTTCCGTTTTCTGTTCGTTTCTTCCACCAGATTATGGTGGTGACATTAGTGGTAGCGAAGGTGATGCTGTCGCGTTTTGCAATACACCTAGTCCAAATGCGCCTGGTGCCAGAATCTTTCCCGATGGATTCATCAGATCATATCACTTCAATACTAGTGATGGTTATATCCAGGTCACTGGCACTATTAATAGAGATGCATACGGTCTAAAGATAAGCGACGAGGGCGGTCAGTACGATAGTGTAGGCTCTCCTCCTCATGCGGCCTGCGCTAATTATGATAAATTTGTAAACTTGGTCGAGCCTGATGTCGAATTATTCTGTATTCGTTGTTGTACTGACACTTCCCAATGCGATACTAGCCATAGCCAAGATGGATGCAGATCTGTTATTCCGGGCGATTACAGTTAAATTAGAATGTTACTCTTATTTTTTTCTCTTTCAATCTATTAATGTTATAATTTGGTGTTCAGTTGTTAAATTTATATTATTTCTATGTAATATATTGTAACTTTACTTGCATTTTACATAAGTTAAATTGTTTATTGCTTCCTTAGTTCTTTAGAATTTCAATTAATTAATTGATTTATGCATATTAGTCTATTATTTTTAAGCAATAATATTACCTTTTTATATTCTTCTAATATTAAATATTTTTTAATTGAACTGTTAATCTTGATTTATTTGAAGTTATTGTGTTAATTTTAATTATAAAAAGTTAATCTCAAATATTTGATTAGCTTTAATATATAATACAAAATTTTTCTTATTAATAAAATACATAATAATTTATATAAGAGAAAAATTAAGTGGTTTTTAATATTTAAACTAGACTTGTTTTAGTATAATTATTATTATACTTGCTAATTCTAAATTATTCAATTTGTTACAAAGTTTTATTATTTGTTCTTTTTTTTTAAAATATCTATAAACTTTTGAGAAGATAAATCTTTAAATAATAAATTATATTATTAGAAATAAACCTTTATAGAATATTTTATTTTTAAAAAATTTCTTATATTCTAATACCATTTTATAGATTTTTATAATAATATAATATATTATATTTTAATTTCTATTTGGAATATTAATATTTAATAACCTATGGGTTTATAATTGTAACATATACAATGTTAGGAAGTTATTTAATTATCATGTATCTGAATTAAAGAAAAACTTTATTAAATATAAACTAGAAGCAAACAACTTTGAATTGTTAATAAAGAAAAAAATAGTCTTTAAATACATGGTTTTCCAATATAAATAAATATAATAAAAAAAAATTTTTTAACCACCAGTTCAGCTTTTACTTTATTAGATATAGTTTTTTTTTTTTTTTTTTTTTTTTTTTTTTAGTCATACTGACTGAGCTTTTATTGATATTCTTGATAAGTACAGCTGTTAGATTACAAGAGAAAAGACTTATAACTATGTAACTATACTACCCTTTTCTCAATATAATCTGATTTTACCCATTTCTTAAGTGAGTATCATCTTATCAGTTACCTTACTTTGCCTGGGCACCTAGCATTCCAAGGATCCATTAGGGACTACCATTTAATTCAAGAAACATTTTTTGTTGTGTATTCCTTAGAGTGTGATTGATTCTTGTAATGAAGGTGTGTTCAAATCTTGTATGACGTACTTGCCGTGTTCAGTTTTCTTCAGAGGCTAGGTCACTTGATGCTTCAATCTCCATGCGGTTTAATACAGAGCCCCAACGATCATTGGTGTATCTTGCGGCGACCTAAGTTTTCCATTGTTCATTCTTAACCACTCTTCAAAGATGGCCTACAGGGATTTTCCTTGGTTAAACGAGACCATCAGCCTCTCTCAAATACGTCTGCCCCTGTGGTTCCCATTATAAGTATTATGCTTCCTCACAATCCAAGACCAATTTGGTCTCATCCCTCTGGTAACTTTCGTGGCTGTACAGATGACCAAAGTCTTTCAATATCTCCCATGAGTCTAGTAATTTGAAAACAGATAGATTCTTTATTAGGTTGGTAGAATCTTGAGGCAATCATTATTATTCCTGGCATTCTTTCAGTAGCTTCACATATTCTAGGCAGCATGGGTGTCATAACTTTATTTATCCTAGTACTAAAACTGACTAAGACTTGTGTGACCTGTTTTTGATGCACCATGGTCAGACAGTGATATTTGATAAGTTGGATGTGTGCAAGAACACATGTGGCTAATAAGCATGTATCCTGTACAATGTGACATATTATTGTGAATATCTTTCTTGAGTGGGATTGAACTGGTAACTCATAGATAGTGACCTGGAAGTGTATTCACTGTACTATTGACCTACAGATTTGGATATAGTTTTTAAATATCAATATAATATATATTAAAAATATAATTTTAAATCTATAAAGCTACAATATGATTATATTGAACATTCTCAAATATGTTGTTATCTCTAAAGTGAAAAATAGTGAAAGATCATTAGTGCGAAAAAATTTTGAAAAGAAAAAAAAAAAAGATAAAAAAATAAATGAGTAGATGAAGTGATTAATTTACAGTATATATACAATTCCTTGCTATGCAATTTATACAAGGAAAAGAAAATTTTATTTGGTGTATTTATTAAAACTTCTCAAGTAGTACTAAATATTCATTTATATATAATAGTGGAAATATCAGTGTGTGGTTTGATCATATTTCAAATTCTCTAATAATTTTTGCACAATATCAGTTATATTTCAGATGCCTTTATCTAAATTCTTAGAAAATGTAAGAATCTCATCTATTATCTTTAGTAGCTGGCTTGTGTTCTTTTGTGAAAACTTTCAAAACATCAGTGCAGATTATATACATGAGTAAGATATTAATGCTTCATAGAAGAGGAGAAGTCTTTAAAATAAGCTATTGAGTTACTTTCTCAAGAGATATGAAGAAAAGGAGACAGATTCAGTCCATTTAGAAATGAGAAGAGGTTAAGAGCAGGAACATATGTATTGATACTCGTAGGCCAATCTATAGATTATTTTCTTTGATTCTTATCATTTTTGTATAATAGTATAATAAAGATCACTATTTATATACACCATTCTTTGTATTCTAAAAGCTGAGTCAAGAAAACCAGTATTCTATCTTTGATCTTTACCTATTCAATAGAGCTGGAGAAATCTATCTGATGATTAGAGGTAGGTGACTACATCTTTAAAAACTAGATGCAGCATCTTATAACCTTTATTATAGTTAGATAGACTTTTTCTGGAGATAATCAATGACTTGTGTGAAAATATGTTCAATATCCACCTACACTAGACCTAATAACTTATGGTGAACCCCAGGTTTTTATGAAGTTAAGAAAATACATTTTAGATATATGAGATGATCAATAGAGGCTTGTTTATATTCTTTTACTAATGTATATTCTTTTGTCCAATCACTATGTGAGAAACTTTATGCTACTCAAAATTTAAGATCAAACTGAGATAGATAAATTTCTTCAAAAAAAACCAAAAATGAGTATTATTAGAGCTACTACTATAACAAGAGAGTAAATGAGTATGTTATAATAAGTCTCTTATTATAAATATAGCTCTGTGGTATTTCTCTACTAAGTGAGAGGACCAAAGTACTTCAGTTTTTCTTTCTTTTAGAACTTTTTTGCCATTAATAAGAAAGATGTTTTATGGCTTGGGTCAATAAAAATTATGTTTTTATATTGAGAGGAATTTTTACAAGAGGAAGAGAAATGTGATGGCAACTTTTGAGCTTTTTTTAAAGTTGGTTTAAGGAAAGTATTAAGGCTTTTTTAACAAAAAAGTATAATAACTTTTTGCAAATGTCTTTTTTGTATACTGTATAATCAAATAATCAATAGAAAGAGTGTATATAATACAGTGAATCTTCTATATATATATCTTCTTTGAGGATGAATTAAAGTGTATATACTGTATAGAGAGGTATATATATATAGAGAATTAATATCTTATTGATTAATTTCATAGGATTGGAAAACTAGTATTAATTTTATATTATTTCAGGGTCTCGACCTCATATTAAAGAACTGATTTTATTTATTTCAACTAGATTTTTGGAAAAGGTGATTTGAAAGATTTAGTTCACTGAGATTTAATTAATAATACAATAATATTTATGATTAGTACATATAAACTATTATAAAGAATCTTCATAATTATCACATATTCTTAAGGTTCGAGTTAATCCAATCTACTGTATCATTTCTACAAGATTGCATAATCAATCAATGATATTTATAATTAATACCTGTAAATCATTATGAAGAATCATTATAATTATTACATGTTCCTAAGATTCAAGTTAATTCAACTCATTATTACTACAAGATTGTATAATAATATAGATTATTATTATTTGATTAATAGTATGATAACATTTATGATTAGTACCTATAAAAATGATTATCTATATCATTGAATTATCGATCTTATATATATCTAAAAATTATCATTATTAAATTAATAATGTAATAATATTTATGATTAGTATCTGCAAAATCATAAAGAATCTTTATGATTATTATATATTTATAAGGTTCGAGTTAATCCAACCTATCATTTTACAAGATTGCATTAATTAATATTCATAAAACTATCGTAAAGAATCTTTATAATCATCACGTGATCATATCTATTTTTTTAACATGATATTTCTATACCTCTTCAAACTCCTTAATATAGTCAAGAATATTCTTCTTCCTTGTTCAGAGTGCACATTTCTATTCACATTTAGTCTAGTCACCTATGTTTACAAATTTAGTCTGATAGAGAAGAAGTTATATTGCATCTTTATATGATAATAATATCACTGAGAAGCTACGATCTTCTTATAGAATTTTCTGTAATTAGATAAACAAGAATCTCAATACAGTGTCAAGGTTTAATAGCTATAATACAAGCCTTCAACTTCGAAGAACTTAAATGTCTATTAGTTTTAGTAACATCATATCTGGTATTTGATAAGTATGCATGTTTGATAATATTAATTATTATTTTTGTGTTATGTGAAAATCACAAGTGTATACTATATAAATAGAAATAAAACTTATATAGTGGAAATAATAAAAAATTATGCAATGCAAAATATAGAGAGTGTGCATATATTTCTAACTTCTGAGCTTAAAAATATGATATAGCATATATACAGTATATAAAGAGTGTGCATATATAGAGGATGCATATATGGAGGGTTTACTTTTTTCTTTTTCTTTTTTTTTAACTAGTCCAACTGACAGGACGAATCTTTATTGACGAATCAGTAGTACATTTTTGGATTACATGAGTAATTCATATGATCTTATTTTAACTACCTATCCTAACCTAGTCTGCCAATTTTACTACATAGTGATACCATTTTCGTCAGTTGCTCTGCTCTGTCCAGGACTATAGTGTTCTGAAAGACTGCTATAA